AGAAGTGGAGTGCAATCACTAGATATGCACTTGTGCAAGTTCCTCCGCCCATCCGATGTGAAGGAGTGTCCCTTGAAGCCGCCTTGGCAGGAAAAAGTTTGTTACTTCGAGAATAAGTCAGAAGGTTGACCGTAAAAGCGTTTCTCACTTGGCGCAGCACGTTCTCCATTGTATGGTTATCTTCAGACATTGAGAGAAAAATTACTTTGTGAATATTTAGCGAGCTGAAAGTCACGAATGAGATGAAAATGACACTGGAACAGGAGAAGATCTCACTGAATTCAAAAAACGAATATCTTCAGGCGAACATGGAGGTATTACCCGCTAGAGTAAATCGGAGAAATAGTCAAAGATCTATGGACTTTCGGCACTACTAACCTTGGGGGTGGAATTCAAAATATAGTGTGCAAAGCTGGGATTAGCGCAAGAGAGTGCAAGACTTTTGCCTAAGCCTAAAGGGGAAGAAGCTCACGAGCAGGTGAACCACTCTCAGGTACAGTAAGCCTTTCAAGGTAATCCCAGTTGTGCACGAAGGGCCCTTCACATAGCCCTCCCCCAAGGTTTTTAACGCCAATGTCTCCATCCCCCTTGACGTTTTTCGTATTCGTATAATAACTAATTCGTAGAATCTAAAAGCTACAGTCTATTTGAACCGGCTAGTTTTTCTTTCAGTCGCTGAATATAGAGAAGGAGAAGATCCAAGAGCATTTCCAAGATATCATGCGCGAACGCGAGCAGTTCCTACTAGAAAATCAGAATCTCTCAACAACAACTTGTCATCTGAAGAATCGCCTGACTGAGATCGAGACCAAAACCAACTGCATGGCCGTTGAGAAAGAGAAAATCGAGATGTTGTGAGTCTTTTACTACCTGTCTTTACCAGCCCACCGTGTGTTCTCGACGGTCATTCGGGAAGATAAACAGACAGATAAGTAAACAATTGAACAAATAAACAATAAACCGTTCAGGTTACAAATGAACGAAAACAAGACCTTAGATCTTGAGAAGGAACGGCAGTATTACACAAAACAAACTCAGGAGCTCCTTCTGAACCTCAAGGTAGGTATACTATGAGAATTGTTACATATTACTGTAATTAAGCAGCAACCATTATGGATAGCCATCAATTGGTAGGTGTCTAATAATCAAAGGCTTTGCCTACGCTGAACTTTCGCGTGAGACAGTCAACTCTAGCGCCTCCTCATTAACGTGTCCCTAAAAATGGAGAAGGGTCCGAAAATGAATGGGAAGCCATGGTAGGTCTCACTCCCCATGTCTCCACCCGCCTGAACGGAGCCTTATAGAAACGGTTATAAGGGTCGAAATAACGTCACATTCCCGCCCCTGCGGTCTACTGTCGGAGAGTAACAGTGCCTTATCATTTGAGTACAATTTAAGGAGGTCAATGAACAGAAGGAATTAACCGAATCAGAACTTCGTCAGCAAGTCATGGCGCGATTGGGAGCTGAAAAGCAACTGCAGGTGAATCTCTCCACTCTCTTATTCTTTCAGCAATTTTGTCGCCTCTTGGAACACTTTCATCATGGAATAACTCCTCCATGCAACATTTTCAGGCCGCCGAAAAAGCCCTTGAGCACTTGGAAATGGCGCTGAAGATGACCGGGGCGCAGATGACAGAACTGCAGGAGCACATTATGCCTGATGTTCATAAACTGCGAGGTATGGCGCATTCATCAAGTGGAATAGTTTTGTTATGATTCCAGCCAAAGCGACTGTTAAGGTTTGGGAGGAACTTTTTCTAAGGTAGTATGTTTAGCTTTTGAAGGCAGGGTGTGTGATGACAAGCTGACGGAGTTGGCGCTAAATATATACCATTCACTTTAAAAATCACCCTCTTTCGAACCAAATTCACCCTTTTTCAAACCAAATTCACCCTTTTCAAACCAAATTCACCCCTTTTCAAACCAAATTCACCCTCACTTTTCACATCAAATTAACCACTTATAAGGGCGGAAATCATCAAGCAGATCATGCCAGACATCACTGCGAGCCGCGCCCGCGACGACACACCCACTTGTCAGCGCGGACATAGATTCTCAAATCTTGTTTCATAACTTCTGCTTTTGCTGTTTCCCACAAACACTTTGACTGGAAACCACCGTGCATTCACACATGGCCGACTCCGCCCATTCTCTAAAGGGTTTGGCACTCTAGGCTGACCACGCCCACTTGCTTTTCGCGGACTTTCGATATTTTTTCAAAATTTTTGCATTTTAGGGCTGCTGCGTGAAGCCCCGCCCACTTTGAAGAAGCCCCGCCCACTTTTCAAAAATGGTGCAAATCGGCAGTATAGAGCCTTGGCTTGCATGCTAGGGTATTGCTGATCATTCGGAATAAACTTTGCCGGATTTTCTTGTTCCGAGTGACGGACGAGGTCCTAGCATGCAAGCCAAGGCTCTATACTGCCGAGTTGCACCATTTTTGAGAAGTGGGCGGGACTTCTTCAAAGTGGGCATAGAGCCTCTCACAGTGGGTGGGGCTTCACGCAGCAGCCCTAAAATGCAAAAATTTTGAAAAAATATCGAAAGTCCGCGAAAAGCAAGTGGGCGTGGTCAGCCTAGATTGCCAAACCCTTTAGAGAATGGGCGGAGTCGGCCATGTGTCAATGCCCGGTCGTTTCCAGTCAAAGTGTTTGTGGGAAACAGCAAAAGCAGAAGTTAATGGTTCGGACACTAATACTGCCGTATCATTTGAGTACAATTTAAGGAGGTCAATGAACAGAAGGAATTAACCGAATCAGAACTTCGTCAGCAAGTCATGGCGCGATTGGGAGCTGAAAAGCAACTGCAGGTGAATCTCTCCACTCTCTTATTCTTTCAGCAATTTTGTCGCCTCTTGGAACACTTTCATCATGGAATAACTCCTCCATGCAACATTTTCAGGCCGCCGAAAAAGCCCTTGAGCACCTGGAAATGGCGCTGAAGATGACCGGGGCGCAGATGACAGAACTGCAGGAGCACATTATGCCTGATGTTCATAAACTGCGAGGTATGGCGCATTCATCAAAGTGAAATAGTTGTGTATGTCCAACCAAGCGGACTGACATTCAAAAGTTTGGTGAGGACCTCAGGCTAGGGTACTATGTTTAGCCTTTAAAGGCACGGTGTGCGATGACAAGCTGACGGAGTTGGCGCTGAATATACCATTTTCACTTTAAATTCACCCTTTTTCAAACCAAATTCACCCTTTTTCAAACCAAATTCACCCTTTCCAAACCAAATTCACCCTTTTTCCAAGACCTATATTACAAGCACCCTTCCAACCAAATTCAGCCCTTTTCAGACCAAATTCACCCCTCTTCAAACCAAATTCACCGACCATTCGAATCGAATTCAATTCACCCACCTTCCAAATCGAATTCACCACACTTATTAGGCTGCGCAATTCATCAACCAAATCACGCAGACACTATTGCGAACCCCGCCCCCTCGGCCACGCCCACATGCTTTTTGCGGAATTTTGATATTTTTAAGAAATCTTTGGCATTTTTGGACTTCTACGTGAAGCCCCGCCCACTGTGAGAGGCTCCGCCACTTTGAATAAGCCCCGCCCACTTTTGAGAAATGGTGAAACTTGGCAGTATAAAGTCTTGGCTTTCATGCTAGGGTCTCGTTCGTCACTCGGTACAAGAAAATCAGGCAAAGTTTCTTCCGAATGATTAGCAATGCCCTAGCATGGAAGCCAAGACCCTTTACTGCCAATTTCCACCACTTTTAAAAAGTGAGCGGGGCTTCTCCAAAGTAGGCGGAGCCTCTGTCAGTGGGCGGGGTTTCACGTAACAGTCCAAAAATGCAAAAATTTCGAGAAAATATCAAGTCTGCGCAAAAAGCAAGTGGGCGTAGCCGAGAGGGCGGGGTCAGCAATGGTGTCTGGCGTGGTTTGGTTGATGAATTGCGCGGCCTAACAAGTGTGATGGATTCGGATCGGAATGTGGGTGAATTCGATTGGGAAGGTGGTTTGGTTTGAAAAGGGGTGAATTTGGTTTGAAAAAGGGTGAATTCAAAGTGAAAATATAAATAATAATAAAGAATAATAGGTATATATTAAAGAATAATAGGCATACAGGGGGGCCAAAAAAAAGTCATTTTGCCTCCATGACTTTCAAGGCGCTATAAGTTACACTTTATTAAATTTTTATCGGACATTTTTACTACCATATTAAAGAGCACATTAAATACTATATAACGCCACAGCCTTCTGGAGGAGCGCCATCGAGAGATTCGGCCGCGCGAAGTGAGTGGGTACCGGAGTTGAGCGAGATCGTTGATTTCTCCGCCACTGTAGACCACCCTGTTGAGCTCCGCCCGAACCGAGTAATTGAGGGGGTTAGTTCAGGACCCCCGCTTAAATACTCCATCTTTTCCAGGTACTCAACGTTCTTCCATTCCAAGTAGGCGAAAGTTTTTCCAACGCCCTTCGATTAAATGTGTTGTCACCCAATCCTGTAGCAGTACAAAGTTTCCAAGAAGGTACGGGCGACGACATGAAGATGGGATATTCTCCTCGAGTTGCTCGATGTAGCCACCAGCGCACACCCTCAGTCTGGGGCCCACGAAGAAAATATCGGTTCATCCATTCCAGGTACGGCCGGTCCACACCATCAACCCGCGCCTTGGTGAATGGGGTGAAGATGATGTCCTGGACCGTAGCGACGTTGCCGGAGCTGCTCGTTTGAGGTCTTGCAGATCAAGAGTACTGGTCTCCAGGTAGCTATCCATGGGTGATTCCATTCAAGAAGTTCCGCAGCTGTTTGGAGGCCACGTGAATTCCAAAGGCGTTCTCCACTCAGGCCGCGACTGGAGATGACTTCATATTTTGGTGTACATGAAGGTGATGGGCGAGAGCCAGCTCCTGCTTATCGAGGAACATCTTGGGGTATCTTCCGCGGGCAAGTGACATTACTGTATTATATCCTCCGTATTACTCGTTTTCTACCACTTTTTTCGCATACGCGTTTCAACAAAAGGCTGAGAACGGCTTCAACAGTGTGCACACTCATACTGGCTGACACGCCCCACCGGTCCGCAATGATGAGAACTGTATGTATGTTTGTCTGTCCGCAAAATTGTTCAATCGGTGAGAGTGACATTTTTTACTTTCAAACTTATGATTACTGATGAGAAGGATTGATAAGGAGATGCAAAAAAAAATCCAGCACCTGCAATCATTTATACGGCTTCAGCGAGTGGATTGCATGGCAAAAGAATAAACGCTCATCGGTAGGCATTTTGGTGCAGGTAGTGGAAACGAGGTTTGTTCATTTACTGAGCGATTCGTATTGTACTCTGGAACTGTACTGTATTGTAGTAGTGCAGTGTAGCTTCTAGCTACACTCTAGTTCGCTGCGGACGGCTGGGCGTGTCGGGTAGTATGAGTGTTCACACCTTCGAAGCCGTTCTCTGCCTTCTTGTTGAAACGCGCATGCGACAAAAAGTGGTAGAAAACGAGTAATACGAAGGATATGATACAGTATTGTCACTTGCCCGCTTCAACAACTGGTGGAGAACGAGTTTGGCACCGCGCCAAACGCAGCCGCACTGACACGCCCAACCGTCCGCAGCGAACTACACTTTATATCTAGAGATATGTATAGTATGGGCACTGTGGCGAAATCACCACCCTTCCTTCAAATGTAAGCGTGGACTCAAGTGTGCAGAATTTGCTGAGTTACTCTATCCATCACGATTCCATCATCACAGTATTCTGTATATACTGTATGCAGTACAGCGCAGTATGAGCAGCTCAGTGAATGAACAAATTCCTGTTTCCATTATAAAGCGCGCCTGGCGAAGCCAGGCCAGCTCGGCGAAGCCGGGCTAAAAAGAAGGAGGACTTAGCGTCAGCCGGGCGAGCCGACTGGTTATTAATAAACTACTTCCAGAGTACTTCGAGCAATGTGCGCATGAAGCTCAACTCGAAGCAAACCGCACGGGAATAATGCGACAAGCCATTTATGCGAGAAAGTGAGCACTTGTTTTTTTAATTTTTTTTGCAAAAAAGTTGTTGTAAAGAGGGAAAAACATCCTGGGGCTATTCAGAGTCTTGGAATTATTTTTGGCCAAATGGGGTCGCACAAGCGTGTTGTCCCATATCTTATTCAAGTTGTTCAAGGGATCCATCCATTGCTACTCTTTCGAGCACGCTCTGGACGAGAGAGGATCAATTGCTCCAACGACACTTCGTGTGAATAAGGTAGTGCAACTCTGACACTGCTGTGCTGCTCGGCGCGCACGACGTGAGCGGTGCGACCGCACCAGCTCACGATAGAATCGCTCGCCTCCCGGTCGAATGTAGTTGGTTTTATCTTCTTCGGAGCAGGATTGCCTGCGAGGCATCGCCAAGGCCGGAGAAGCCTTTGAGCCGCCTATTTTCCTAAACAAAAAACAAACTTGGCTCTACTTGACCACGTTTTAGACGAGTTATACCGAGAACAGAAGACAAGGGTAAATTTGAGCAAGCAACACAATCTCATCTCATAGTTGCATTTCCTATACGGAAATGGGGAGGGCATGCCTGCTCATTTCACTCGAACATATCGTAGGATCATTTTTTCGCCTGACTTTTCCATTTAAGACATTTCTCATGCTGTGCTTTTCTGAACAAGGACATAATTCTAGTTGTCCTGGAATGAAAATGTACACCAGAAAGGCAATCGCAATCAAGTTCACAAAGCGTAGCCACACCCTCTCCATCTCTGGTATATATGTATGTTAAGTGTGAGTGTAACTATAGGCGCGATCCCTGCAAATGATTGGGTGTGTGAACGGGGCGTGAGTTGGATCGCAGAAGAAACAAACCCCCTCCCTCTTCCGCTCTCCCCGCCAATTACTGCGGATGGCATCATTGTTGGAAAAGGGCACCTCGGTAGCGCAGCGCTCCAACCCATGTCCAATGAGGCGCCCTATCCTTTGCAGGGACCATGATCAACCCTGCTATCAGTCCAGAGCGACAGTACCAAAATACAGAGGCGGTCATCATACAATCCAAAACAGCTGCAAGACGACTCAACCCCCGTTTCTAGCCTCTGAGAAATGTGTCATGAGGAGGATTGTAAAGATTGCGGGGGATTGTGCCTGATCGGCCGTCTGAGATTCGAACGATTCGAATGAGTTCTTGCACGTGTTCTCCGAGCTGCTCTGTGGCACTATATCCAAACGGATAAAGAACACCGGAAAAGAAGAAAGTCTGCATCCAATTAGTCACACAGTCTCTTCATGCGGGAGGTCCCCAGTGATTACGTGGGGCGGAATCGAGGCTACCATTCCTCATTGGTGGCGCTCCTGCTTTCTACCGTCATAGAAATAAAAGACGCAGGATTGAGACCAATGAGGGGGGAAGGGGAGGGAGGAGGGGGGGCGGGAAGAAACGGTTAGACTTGCTCCGCCTGCTTGATCGGTGGACTGGACTGGATTACTACCGATTGGTCGTCATGAACCTTGTGTTCCTGACCTCCCTCTGCACTTCCCGCTTTACTCTCGTGACAGAAACAAGTAAAGCTCCATTCTCATGAAACGAACTTATTTGAATGTTTAACGCAGTGCAAGCTAGCTTACTTCTGAGTAAATTTGACAATATTCCCGTACGAAGGTATAACGACTTCGTCAACTGAAATGTTCTGCTAAACTCCGGCGAAGGATAAAAATCGGGGCACTCCGGCGAGGGAAGGGGCATTTTTCACTTTCGTTGCTTCCCATTGTAGTGTTCATTGCTTTAAAAAGGTTGACAACAAGACTTAAAACTCAGTACTGAACCCTCACAAATATATAATAAATGAATGCTCAAGGTCGATGCAAGACGTCGCGTCACTCGAGGGCCCACAAAATGAGAGGTCCTGCGTCCACGACAAGTACAGCACCCGTCAAAGGTGGTTTGAAAGTTGTGAAATCGTTTCGTGTGCAATGCAACCATTGCATGTGCTTCTGCTTTCTATTGTCCCGACAATTTCTGCTGAATAGTCCGCTAGAGAGACAGAACTACAACAGAGCAATCGTGAGCCAGGGCATACCTAGTG